CACAAGCACTACATGCGAGCCGAAAACAGTCACATGTAGAGGAACAAACAAACCAAGAAATGGAAACCAACTTACCTCATTGAAGAAATTGGTCGGTTGATCTTGATGAACTCACTGCCAGAACAATTCTTATTGCCTCTGATTTTCAACAAGATGAACGAGATTGTAGTAAATCTTAGAGAGAATAGAGAAAGAGCATTTTAAGAAAAAGGTTTTATAAAGAATGTGTGTTTTTAAATAATGTCTATACATTTTTAATTATATTTTAAAGTTTTAATATTAAAATAATTTAGTCTTATCATTTTAAACGCTATTAAGTCTAAAACATGATTTTCTAGGCTCTTATAAAAAATATATTTAAACTAACATTAATCTCAATTATTAAGTGATATAAAGTGTACTAAACTATTAATATTTATAAAAGCTAATGGTCATAGTTTCGTTTGGTGACCACCAGATCTGGCGCACCTCTCTGCGCGACATGTAACCCCACGATGTTGGGGCTCTGTTCTCCTCCATGCGTTGCCATGCACAACATCTTTGTGCACCGTGAACATGCGTGTGCTGCTCACGTGTCGTCGCCTGCTTACTAGAACACCACCATGCCACCTCTATAGCGGCCGCCAGCCTCTCCTCTCCCCGTTCTGGCACTTCGAACTATGTTCCATTAACGTTCAAACAGAACCCTTTCGATATTCACCAAGGGTTTGCAGTTTCTCCTTCAGATTGTTTATCCCTTGATCCAAAATGGCTTCTGGCAGTGCCATCTCTTTTTCCGGAAGTCTCTCCATCACGTATGAAAAGTTAAATGGAAAAAAATTACTTATCTTAGTTGGCTATCATTGAGATATGGTTTGTTAGGTCAAAGTCATTATGATCACCTTGAGCAAGATGACAACCATGTACTGACATGACTGATAAAATTGACCAGTGGAAACAAACAGATTTATAGTTGTGTGCTGTATTACGGCAATCAGTGAAACCCAAACTTCTTGTATCTCTGAGAGCTTTCAAAACTTGTCACTCCTTTTGAAAGAAAGTTCAAAATATTTATGTCAATGATATTCAATATCTCTATGACATGACAAACAATCTTACCTCTCTTAAAATGACAAACCATGATATGATGTCCTTCAAGACGGAAGTCCATCGAAATCCAATCTATTGTCGAAGAATTCAAGATATTTTTGGAAGTTATCATGAAGAAATTAGACAAATATTACATGATATTGATCATTCGTATCTTGCATCCCGATTTTAATCATACATAATCTCATATGTAATTTTTTTACTATATTCAATAATATAAAAAAGATAGGTATAAAACTAATTATTTTAATTTATACCCAACAAATACATTTCTTCCACGCAAAAATACGTTGAGCAACTTCCATGATGTCCACGTTTAAATTCTAACGAGGCACTAAAAAGATAAGATTTTTTTCATTATTCTCCTTTTTTACCCTTCAGAATCAATATTATGAATTGCTTCTTACTTATTATATTTTGATTATTTTAATAACAATGAAAACCTTTCATAAGCAGGATTAGTGATATAATTCACTTTCTTTGGATAACAGTGGGAAAT